ACTTTAATCAATGTCACCACCAGTGCAGAAGGCTCAGAGTACCATCTCAAATGGCCCCATTTGAGAGGCCAATTACTTTAGAGATATCATAGAGACTTGGTGAGTCTGGGGAAGAAACTTTGGAACCAATGGATAAACTTGTCTTGGTTGGAATTCAATCCTCTTTCCAGATGGTGGGTGCCTGGGGCACATGAGCATAGGCCACGATAGGCTGGGGTGCTATAGTGCCAGCAGAAGACGAGGTACCCAGTCTGGACATTTTTAGTTCTGCAAGGAGAAGGCTTTTGAAGGCTTTGCTTTATTATTCCTATTAATGGCTGTGGGGGGAAAATCGCACAATTAGAGGGATATGGTAGCATTTCCAATGCTCTTTCTACTACCCAAACTGGTCTCTCTTATCCATTATGTTTCAATAAGCCTGAGAGATTATTGGTTTTTTTTTTTTACCAATATAACACTTATTTTTTAAAAGGCACTTTAATGCATTGAGATTATAGACATAGCTCCCTTGGGGAGCTGACAACCTAGCAGGGAGATAGACAATAAACATTCAGTATAATGAGTGCCATCAATACAAGTTAGTACAGTGATATCATGGGAGCATATAGAATGTGCATTTTTACCCAGACTGAGGCAAGGGAAGAATGGGAAGATGCAAGGCTTCCTAGAAGTGATATGTGTTCTGAATTTTAAGAAATTATTCTTTCATAGACCAAGCATTCATTCACTACATTGTGCTAAAAATACTTTTCTGCTCCACTGTCCACCTATAAGCATATGCCAGTACCAGGATGAATCATTAACAAAACAACTTTTTGGAATCTGTCCATCCTGGTTGGTTGGCCTTAATCCTCAGTTTGGTTCAGACCACACAGGATTACATTTTTTCTCTATTTTTTTCTCTCTTCCACAATTCAGATAGCTAATTATGAGGTTTAAAATACCAATATCCTTTTATAAGAATAGCAAATACCTGCAACCCAACAAACAAGGAATGCTGCTAATATTAAAAATCTCTGAATAGAAAGAGTGAAATTCTATTATCACCTTCTTGTGTCATCTCTTTCAAGTCCTTCCCTGGCTCACTCAGGTAGAGTCACTCAGTATGAAGTTCACCTATACTCCCAAAGCACCTTGTACATATTTCATGTTACATATTAGCTCTTATGTCTGTCTTGCTTACTAGACCATGAGTGTTTTAAGCATTAGCACTGTGTCTTTTTCAACTTTTCATCCTCAGTGCATAGCACCAATCCTGGTTCATATTAAACATTCAGTAAATGTTTATTCAATGAATAAACATGGAGGAACATATACTTTTCTTAAGATATTTTAGCCACTTCCAGAAGTGATATGCAAGATCTCTTTGTTTACCATTATCTATCTGTTTTTAGCTTTTTCTTTACCGGCATATCCTACTGTTTCTATCAGGATTGTTGTTCAACTGGATATTTGGGAAATTATACCCTCTAGCACCTCTCAAGACTAACAAGGGCTTTCTGCCTACTGCTTTAAGAAAGAACGGCTCTGAAATGCAACTACACATGGCAGCCAGTAAGACTATAGAGAGTTTTCCAAGAAAGACATCTTATTTAGATATACAATACTGAAATTATAAGCAACATTCTTAAGTGGAATTAGAAGAATACATTCATTTGCCAAATTTTTATTGTTTCTTTCTCCCAGAATTTTGTAAAGTTCCTTGTTTAATGAGACAAATAAAATAAGTCCTTCCAGAAGATCACGATTTAGTAAGGAAGAAAACAGGCAAGTAATCACTACTGCTAAAGTCTGATGTCTCAGTTCACATTTGGAATGTTCCAAGATCAATCTAGAAGTTATTATAATCCATTATATAGATATAGGTTGGTTAACTTAAGTATTCAACTTAGAAAGTTACTAGAATCATTTTGAAAGTGGGAAGTCCAAATCATCAACACTACAGGGGTGGATACCAGTGACATTCTATAGTTCTTTTTTATTCTAGTTTGTTAGCGAAATCAGGTATTCTGGTTTGTTAGCAGAATCAGGAAATTTGACTTATAACAGCAATTTACATTCATATTCTGGTAACTTTACCAAAGCATTCACTTAGTTCAATATCCTTCACTTGTCTTCTAGAAACAGGAGAGATTCACAGTAAATTATGGAGGACTAATGTTTCTGGAGGCTTAATCCAAGTATTTCTTAAGCAAAAATAAATTTGCTTGGCAAGTCCCTTCCTGTCTTGGGCATCAATGTCTCCAGCTATCATACCAGAGGACAGTCTCAGAAAACCACTAAGGAAGCATCCAGGCTAAATAGCTTATAGGCTTAGGACTCTTGAAACTTATATGATTAGCCTGAACTAGGATAACTAGATATGGGACCAGACAAGAAATACACCAGGAATTTATTTCTAAACTTTAACATTTGTCATAAAGAAATCACAGTTGAAAGGAAACCCACAGCAACAATCTTATTTGTGATGTCTAGACATCTCTTCTGTATTTCCACATATTAATTTGTCCCATTTTAACTACCTGGTAATAGCAAATGATGGCACAAAAACTTTTGTTATATAGACCACTGACCAATAAACATTAGTACAGCAGACTTCTATTGAATTGAGAGGGAAAGTTTTAGGTTTTGTTACTGTTAATCGCATCAAATGGATGATGCAATCAATTTTCATGACAAACACTTTTGAATAAATGTGATAAAGATCCAAGAAACATCACAGAGATGGAAACTCAAATAATTGTATTAAGATTAATCTATGGTAGATGGTAAGAAAATTGTGGCTAAAGCTAAACTCTTTTGGGGGGGCAAGAAATCAGCCTAACTTATAATTTTGTATATCAAAAGGTAATTGACTTTTACTCTCTCTTAGGAATATGCCATTCCAGTGAATTTTCATCTTGTGTTTGTAAAATGTGAATTTTACCATAGGCCTTAACTGTAATAATGAGGAGGTGTACATGAACAGTAGCTACATAATTTTACTTATTACTTTATAGAGAGAAATGTAATACCTTAACTTTAAATATCAATAGTTTTTAATTTCTAATATGAATAGAACTTGACTTTGAATAAGGATGTCAAGTATCTTAAATCCCAGGAATTATGTTCTCTTTCTCCCCACTGCCCTGTTTCTTGTTGCTATGTTTATTAAATTCCTAGATGTTTCTATTTAGTTTTTAATATCATTTCTTTTTGTTTTCATAACAGTAACCTAATAATGGGATGCCACATTTTTAAAAATGTAGATTGAAATATCCTATCATACTTCACAGTTGATCTTGCAATTCACTGGGAAATAGCTCTAAAGCCTTAAACAAGGCCTTTATTTTGTGTTTTAAAAAAGTGTCATAAGGAGTTAATAGGACACAGCTGTACTGGTTCTTTCTAATAAGCAGCTTCTGTCGCTTTGGTCACCACAGGTGTCTCTGTAACCTGCAAACTCTTATTACTAGTGTATCAAAGTTGTGCTACTTAACAGACTTCTTTAGTAAAACATAACAAAGCAATTACATGGCTGTTGATTGCCAGTCAAAAAAAAAAAACCCTCAAACACTACTTTTCAAAAGAAACTACACTGCAATTTTTTGTCATTGTAAAATAAAAGGAACTAAGGAATTAAATGGAGGATAGAACAAAATAACAGCAGGTAGCCCGCTGAACTTAGCCACTACAGATGGTTTAGAAATAGTGTTTCCTTCTCCATCAAGTTGTGGATAAAAGGAAAGGAGGAGATTCCTTACTGCCAGTGAATGGCAAAAGATTTAGCCAAGTCTCCAGTCTATGTATTTTGCCTCATGAAAGCCCTTCGATGCTGCATTTTTATCTGTTTTTGGCACTGCTTTTCATCACCTTTAACTGAGTGTGAATAATAACCTGATTTAATTTAAACAAATACAGGTGCTAAAGGTTCTTTATTTATGTATAACAGGGAACATTTCCAAGGCAGAACGAAGTCATCCTATGAAATTTCCTAACCATTTACTTAAAGAAATGAAGTATTAGATGAAGAAATTGCTTCAACATTCTTTTGCTTCACATTTAAGAGAAGAATCATCTTTCTTTTCAGATTCAGATTACATAAAACAAAGTCTGAATGATGAGCAAAAATTCAGTGAGCCATAAAATAATAAAAAGACAAATCAGATGATTTCTAATTGTTCTACAGTCATTTAAATTAGGTAACTACAATAGGATTGCCTTGAAATGAATGAATTTAATCTCCCTGTTCATAAACCAGCAGTCTGTGATGATGATTGTGTTAACACACCCAAAGTAGCATCACAGGAAGTTACGGCCACATGTGTAATTAAACACGATGAAATATATTTCAGATGGCAAACTCAAATAGGTAAAATATGAATAATTATTCATCACTTACAGATATTATGATTAACAAACTAAGTAAATTTATCCTGACAGCTAGGAAGGGGATTTTTTTTTTTTTCCCATTGAGAATATGGATGTAATGCTGGCTGTGTGCAAAAGAATGTGTGCAATAAAGCGATTACATCAATTAGCATATGCTAGAGTTAAGCTATTACCAACTCCAATGGACTGGTCCAGAATGTCCTGCCTTCATCACTGGAATTATTAAAAACTAAACTTACTAGTAGGATTATATATTAGATTTTCCTTGTCTTTTCTGAATATTATTAGAAACAGATTTTAATATTCAACAACATATTAGAACATAAGAACATACAGTACATAGGAAGGTACTATATTATTATTATTGCAAAAAGACAAGAACAATGTATTTTGGTTTTTGGTTTTCAGGTTATTCTTGAATTTAAGAAATCTTTTATTAGTTAAGGTATTTTTTCACAATTGAAAATAACTGCATGTTAACTACAACACATAGCTTTTATCTAATTAAATGTAATAATAGAAAATTTAATGCTGAGGATGAAAATGTTTATGATGATAAGAAACCAAATACAATGATGACTTTTAACAATAAAAAAGCCCAACTTATAACTTGTGAACAACAGTGTTACCTTGCTCTGTTGGCGTCCTTTGTCAGGTCCCAAGCCCAGGTTATAAAATTTTGACTCAGGTAAGAGACGATAGATTCAGCACAAAGCATTTGTGAGCAGAACACGTTGGTTAATACACTTTCATCGTGGTGGAGGTAGACAGCAAGAAGCTTTCTCTGAAAAGAGGGGAAAAGACTGATGAATTAAAATATGCACTAATTAAGATTTCTTGAATTCTGGAAAGGCACAGTCAGTCAATATAAACAACAGTAAAAATTAAATGCTATTCCCTAAAAGAGTAACTGACACCTGGACATCTACTAATGTGAATACATTTTGTTTCCTTACACTCTAAAAAGGCTAGGATGATTGTATTGTTTTACAGACTGCTGTCGCAGATTCCTGTTAACATGTGCAAGCCTATCTCAAGTACAAATTGCAACAGAATGGCATTTTCTTTAAATAAAATGGAATTACCATTCTTTGTATTTAACACATACTTTATATGTAAAGAGAAAATTAATTCTGAACTATTCAACTATACAGAGAAAAAAATACTGATGAAGATTGGATGCCAAAATCTCTTACATATTTTTTGTTTTTAATCTGAGCACTAAATAGTCTCTTCTACTTGAAAGAAAAAGGTCTGAAATAAACTTGTTTTAGTTCCACAGGTAATTTCAAAGCCCTTAATGTGTTCCCATGTCAAAGTCCTTACTTAAGAGCATGTGACATCTAATTGCCGTTTGAAAGGATGATAGAAAAATGTTCACTCCACATGAATTCTTTCTAGTTTATATTTCAGAAAATGTCCAGTGAAGTTTTTCATATGGAAAATTATTCTTTCCCTTTTGCCTGATAAAACTTGCTTTCAAGAAATTATATCTGCTCTCTTAAAAGTATCCTCTGTAATAGTTGGATAATCAATAAAATAACTGAAACTAAAAACTGAAATTGAGCAACATAATTTGCAAATGTCAGCTTTAACCACAACAATGATGATTAAAGAACCTAAATTGTCCTTAACTTTTTGGTGCTACCTTGGAGAAGAGCTGAGTTAAAGAACAGTCAGTTACCAGGACATGGAAAGATAAAATTTTATGGTTAAGGACAATATACACATTTAATCTGTGAAATTCTGGTGAAGGAAAATTTCAAGGAAGCTGTAAGAATGTGATGATGAAGAAATTTGCTGTGTGGGATTCTAAACAAAAGAAGGACATTTACAGAAAAAGGGCTCATGTAGATGAAAGTCTGATGCTTGGAATTATCCTGATAAATAATCCAAATAATAATCCTAATAATCCTCATAATAATAATATTTTCTTCAAAGAGAAATTTTGCACTAGATGAGGGTAGCCAGAGGTACTTTAATCCCCAGAATAAACCTGTAAAATAGTATTCTTAACTTCATTAGCCTATGAGGAAATTGAGCTTTAGAAACCTCATTTACCCTAATTCTAAAGCTAGTAAGTAAGTGGTAGATCTGGGATTGGAACCCAGACTGACTGACTCCAAGCCTAGTGTTCTTTATTTGGATACTGAAGCAGGGAACCTAACTGCACTATAGTCAAGACTTGGAGAGCTTGTAGAATATTAAGGCACCAGATGCTCATATATATCAGTGCTTCTGGGGCCTCAGAGACAGCATGTAATGGGAATAAGGACAAAATGCTTCCATGTGTCCATTCATTCATTCATTCATTCAAGAAGTACTGGTTAAAATATTCCTCATGTCAGGCCCAGCAGGAAGCAGTGGTGATTAAATGCTGAACAAGAAAGATTTAGGGTTTTTTCATCTATGTTGATATATGCAGATACCAGTAGCTGGTATCTAGGAAGTTTGTAATCAGATACATTGTTGGAGAGATACTTATCTAGAAAATTCCTACTCATCCATTAAGGCTCAAAGCAAATGCCTCTGGGAAGCCTTCCCTGATTCCTTCAGGCAGCATTAAGAGCTTCCATTTCTGGGCCTCTATCTCTTCTATTTTAGTATTCCAATTGTTTACCAGTTTCCCCTCTAGAAAAGTTTCTCAAGGGTGAGGACCCGGTCTCTTTCTTTCAGTCTTCTTTGTATCCCTAAGTTAGCACAGGACTCAGCATGTTTGAGGAAAGAAACATGAATGCTGATATCAACCATAGCCCTCTGGCAAAAAAGACACCAAATGGTAGCTGCAATGCCAAATCACTCTTAGTAAACAAATCTAGAAATCTGCTGCTTTAGGGAAAGGAACATGAACCTGGCAGCACTAACAAATTCAGAGCTCCTCTTCTTAGAAGCTCTCTGGCCCAACAGACAGGGGGATGTCAACCTCTAATTCTGCTTGATCGTATCTCAGCAACTACCTTTAATGAGACACTGGGAACAAGAGAGCTGTCCACTTTTGAATCAGCATATTTCTAACCAAACAATAGCAATGGCTAAATCTTTAAAATGCCTATTTCTCTCAAGAACACTGCAATGGAATATTTAGACTTTGGGAAAGAGATTAGCGATTTACATTGCTATCTTACTGATTTAATTTAAATGCTCTTCCAAACCAAACACAAATGTGCTGAAGAGGCTACTAGGAAACCCAACATGGAGAGTTCCCTATACGTGCAGCTGACAGTGTTGACTGAAACTAAACTTGGAAATCCAGGGCACTAATGCACAATATCAAGCAATAAAACAGCATCTCTTTGGCAATATTTAATTTAAAAAAGAAGAAAGAGGTGGGCGAAGATCAGGCACTGTTTTGGAGGATCAACCATTCTGCATTTCAAAGCATTGGTCCCTGCAATATCCAGGTTACTGTGCTAGAATCTCGACTATTATATCGCAGTTGTGAGAGGGAGGGCAAAGATGTGTTTACTCAGTGATTAGGCCCTTAGAATAAGCCTCTAGCTCCTAGAGAGACAGCTCACCACTTATTCATTTGGGCCAATTCACAAAGCCTAGGAAGATTAAACATCCATGCTGAGAAGACAAGCGAATGCAGACGGTGAAAAAGAAATAAAAATTCTTTAAAAACTCTGAGATGACTTCATTATTTTTCCACAAGGAAACTTTAGGAAAGTGTTTAGTTAGAGAAAAACCCACATTGACCTCTCTCTAAACCCTTAATCTTTCCTTTGTGGTGGCATTGCTTTGTGGTAAGCGACTGGCTCGCCTCACCCCTCTTTTCACTAGAAGCTGAGAGAAAAAAGGCTCTGGAGAAACAGTTTTCGTTCTAGGGACACAAACCCCTGACACTGTTAAACATGAGATGCCAGGAAAACACACTTAAAAAAAAATTCTCACTTTAAGCTCTAAACTGTGAGAAAGGAGATGATACAAAGATATCAGAAAAGGATCTTCAGGTTGGGGGTACTCCCACAGTAGCTTTCAAAAGAGAAACTGAATAATCTTCAAATAATCTTTTCTCTCAAACACAGTAAGCTTTCAACAAAAATTTTTCTTCTGCTATTATGACAGTAAAAATAAGCAAAATATAAAGGCTCAATAATATGTAAATGCTACTAAATTTGGGCTACATAAATCTCTGATTAAATTATAGGCACACCTAAATGAACCCCAGACTCAGATTTCTGATTACTTTATTGAGCTCAACTAAACACAGTCCAAAACAGTGAGAACTGCATTCAGCATATCAGAAAATTGTTTTTGTGAAGAAACGGCATCTAGTACATAGAAAAAGCATAGGAAAATGTTTTGTTTTCCATTACTATAACCATTTTTCCCTTTGGCCCATTAATAATTTAGTTCAATAACATTTACAGAGTGCCTATGTGTTAGGCATTGAGAATACAAAGATGAATAAAACAAAGTTCCCTTGCTCTCTAAGAGTTGGGGGTGGGGAGGGGGTGGCGTATGGAGAAAGCAAAGAGTTAATTGCAGTATCATATGAGAAGCAGTAAGATTGGGGCATTAAAAAACCCTACATTTTATTTGTCCTTCCTAATTTGGCAGAGAGGTGTAAGTCTGGCTGACGACAAAGGCAAGCAGCCCAGCTATACTCTCCTCAGACTCCCTCTTTGTGATCTAGGTTTTGGTTAACAGTTAAAGGAAAGTCTCCAAGCATTAAAGTAACAGAAAGCTCTGTGCTAAACCCAGTTTTGCCACTCACCAGCTGTGTGACTGTGGGGGTTAGATGGGTGTTGTAACAATTGTGGATAAAGTAGGTAAAGTGCCTATTTACAATGCCTGGCCCATAGTAGGTGCCAAGTAAAATGCAGCTGTTAGGATCAAGATTCCGGAACTATCCATGCAAAATAAAGGATTTGAAAGCCATTTCAAGAGAAACGATAGCCACGAAAATGTATGAAAGATTATACAGCTCCTTCATTTCTCCTACTGGCCATAGTGTTTGGGATGCTTCATTGTGTCTGTGCCTTCAGGGCCTCACTAATCTTCACATTCAAACCCAGGAGCTAAGGTACTAAGTTGATGCTTAGGAAGTGCCAAGCTGACAGCAACCAGTGTGACTTGGCCTTGAGCTACAGTAGCTATTGTATTTAGACACTTAGCATCACAGAACCACAGAACATTAGAGCTGGAAGAAATGAGCTGGCTATGTCTCAAAATAAGCCAGGCACAGAGCAGACACTTAGAAAATATTTGCTGATGGACTGAAAAGGAAGTTGTCTAGTTTCATTTTAAGTACGAGAACATCCATAATCTGTGTGTTCAATGATTTTGAAGTTGATATGACAAACGATTTCTAGAAATGGTATTTCATAGTTTTTTCAGTATAAGAATTAAAATAAATTAAAAATAATTTCCTTTGTATAAATTGGGAGCTGATTTTATTTCTCCTCTTTCAGTTTCCCTTCTCCTTTTCTATCATCATTATCATCACCATAATAATCAGAATTATCGCTGTTCTTTTCTTTTAAGTTTGGGGGTGGTTTACTGACACAACCAACTGATATACTGATACAACAATAAACACTCTTTTATATTTTACCTAGATTTATCAATTATTAACATTTTGCCATATTTGCTCTATCATTCTTTTTATGCTTCTTTCCCTGAAACATTTAAAGTTGCACATATCATGACACCTCCACCCTACTTTAGTGTCTGTCTCCTAAGAAATAAGGACATTCCCTTACATAACCATAATTTCTTTAATCACACCTAAGACATTTAATATTGTTTACAATATTTACAAGTTAATATTGCTACAAT